CACACACACACACACATCTTTAATCTGATCAGTATGTTCAGAGGATGAGAAATCAACGCATTCTGCAGACATTCCACAACCTTCTTCTCAGAACCATAATGGGCTATTTTGGCTGCTTGTATTCTTAGACGTTGGAGCAGCCTGCAAAAATAGGACTATTTTTCAATGCTGGTCTGAGATGACGGCTTTATTATGCTTGTGATGGTAGACAGTCTTGGCAGCTGGCTGCTTAGAAACACTAGAAACTGACTGAGGAGTTTCAATAGAGAGATGAGAGAATAAGCACAGGCTTCAAAAGGACAAATTGTATTGAAAAGAATCGAAACAAGAGGAACTGACTGCAGCTTAACAGAGGCTGATCAGTATCAAAGTTTCTTTAGTAAAGAGTAAATGCAGGCTCTTTATAGAACCAACACAACCAGTAGAGAGCCATTAGGAGTGAGGGGCAGCTCTAATAGACCCCCCCTTGTCCCGAACGTGCAGCTCTTCACCACAAAACATTGACTTTATGTATGTGTGTCTCTATACTCTTTTCCAAATGTCTGTTGTGCACAAAAATCAAGTTAACTATTCCCTAATATAGTACATTAATCTATAAACCATTAAAGGCCCTTAACACACACCTCCACCACAGGAAATACAATGGGTAGAAGGGTGGGCTCAAACAAACAAAACCACAGGAAAACAAACAATCAAGGCTTCGATTTACTGGCTGAAAGAAAAGAAAAGAATAAATATTGCAGGGAAATTGAATTATTTGAACCAAACTAGTTACCATCATTACCAGGTTACATCAGTGAGGATAAGCTAAATAACAGAAACACCTCTCTGTACAATGCAACACACCACACCACAAACTACATCCTCCAAAATGGCCGTAAAGTTAAACACCTTTCTAAAACAGTTGCAACAAAACTGAACACTATAACCTCCACGAAGGGAGGATTTATTGCATTACTACTGCATTAGTTTAGCTAGGTATACTTAATAATATCTGTAAACTGTCTTGAGTATCTCCAAAAGCACTCTATGAATAAAATATATTCTAAATACACATAAACTCACATTTCTGCCAAAGTGAACTGCTTTTCATAATTTTTTACATGTTGGCCCAATAACAAGAATATAAAGTCAGATTTAAAAAACTGATGACTACAGGGTGTGTAAGGCTTACTCTCTAAACCACAAACCATAAACAACAACGCTTTGGACACAAACTGAGAAGTGACTTACTACCAAGACTACCAAGTAAACACATTTTAACCATTTTAAAGTGAAAGTATTCTGAAATTAGCCTAATTTTGCCACGTTAGAGCTACAATGATAAATTACACATATGTTCCTTGGTAACTTTTCTTTCAGTTTCTTCACCACTGTCTTCACCATCCCCACCCACATACACACAGCCCTTTTACAGCTTTCCAGAGACATGCTTTGATACCATAGTGCTCCGAAAAGAACAACACACAGCACTTAGCCCAATTGAATTGAGTGATGACTGACGGCATGGCACATCATCATATTCATTTATCTATCCAGCCCTCCCTTTATTACTATCTCATCTTGAAGCTTTGAATAGACAGGAGCAGTGGGTGAATGGATGGGTGGTTAGATGGCTTCTTTCAGACCACATCCACTGTTTGAGAAACAATCCATACTCCCTCCCTCTGTACATCAATTCACTTTTGCCTGCAGGGAAAGAGACAGACAACACTTTACTATAAAAGCCACCAAATGGGCCAAAAAGGGCCCAAAACAGCCTTGACTGGTGAACTTTGACATGTCTCTATGATGACGACAAGTAGTCATTGTTCTGGCATTTTTGCTCTGCGTTGTCTGCAGATTTTGTTGCTGAATTTGGCGTCCGTGTGGCTGGTAACACATGGCTAGTATCAAACATTTATTTACAGTAAGCATTGTCAAGATTAGAACTGTCACTACTAGTCTTTAAATAGACAGCGTGTCAGTCTACAGCTCCGTCAAAGTCCCCTCTCCTCAGGGACTGTCACAGACCGAGCAGAGTCAACAAAAGACAACGGTTGCCATGTACCATTCTTCATCTGCTGATTGGAGCCGACCTGGCAACCTGCACCCAAAGCATAGCAGGATATTAGCATGATGAGTTGCTGATTAGACACAACCAGCAC